CACATCTTCCCCGAGAGGACTGGCAGGCACCGGCTAGCTCTCTCGGAGCTGTTTCAGGGTCCTTCTTGGAGGGAAGCACCAAACACGGTCCCAGGCTCAGGAGAAGTATAGCCTGCAGACAAAACTTTCGTCTTCACACAATGTTCCAAGTCCTGAACCAAAGTGAAATTAAACATTAATAACCAAATCTAAGAGCGACACTGACGGGCCAGCGCCGTGATGCAACACATTAAACTGCTGCCTTTCAGAGGGATACTCCACTTCTCTTCTTTTTAAAGATTGATTTATTTTTATTGGAAAGGCAGACTTACAGAGAAAAGGAGAGACAGTTCTGTCATTTGCTGATTCACCCTCCCCCAAATGGCCACAATGGCCAGAGCTGAGCTGATCTAAAGCCAGGAGGAGCCAGGGACTTCCTCTGGGACTCACCCAGGGGTGAAGGGGCCCAAGGACTTAAGCCATTCTTCACTGCTTGCCCTGGTCATAAGCAGAGAACTGGATCAGAAGTGGAGCAGTTGGGAGATGAACTGGTGCCCATATGGGATGCTGACACTGCAGGTGGAGGATTACCATGCTGTGCCACCACACTGTCTGGTCCAGTTCCCTGCTATACTGCTTGGGAAAGCAGTGGAAGATGGCTCCTGCCATCCACGTGGGAGGCCTGGAAGGGCTCCTGGATCTGTTCTCGCTCAGCCCCAGCCATTGTGGCTTTTGGAGAAGGGAACCAGCTGATGAACGATCTCTTTGTCCCCTCCCACGCCTGGGTCCCTACAATCCTGATTTTCAAATAAGTAAACAAACAAACAAATAAATCTCTCTACCCCCTTCCCCTTTAAAGGGTGGGGGTGGTGACAGTGATGGGAAAGTCCCGGGCTCTCCAGAGAAACACAGTAGACTTATATTTGTGTCGGAGGTCAGAGAAGGCCGGGTCAAGTGATGTTTACGCTGAGTCCCAAGGACCATGGATTCAGGGGAAGGCAGGGGCACGGCACCTGGAAGGCCATGGGGAACCGGGCACGTGTAGAGTCCATCTGAGGAAGGAAGAGGTGTGGTAGCCGCGAGGCGCAGGACACACTTGGGCGCTGAGTTTCGATTTTATCCCCAGAGCAATGAGATGGCAACAAAACCTGAAGGATCAGCTTTCCAGGGCAACAGGTAGCACGGGGTCTAAGCCGAGAACTGCCCGCATCTGATGGCCACGGGGTTCTGGCGTCTCCGAGTCAGGCAGCAAATGGGAGCAGCACTGAATGTGGCCACGAAGCCCCTGGAGGACAAAGAGCTGAGCTCTGCTCGCTCTGACTCCAATCCAGACACCTCTGTTCTCCCGAGAACTCAGTCTCTACCCGTGGGGTTCACGTCGGGGGCTGAGGAGTCCAGGAACCACCACAGGCGCTGCCGGCAAGTGGTGGGATGGGGGAGAGACCTGACTCCACCTCCTTGCCCCTAAATCACTTCCCCCAAAGGGCACATTTGCAAAAAGGGCGCTGTTGTCCAAAAAAAATTTTATATTGAAATTCATACTCATTTTTACAGCCACTAATTTTCACTGCCAAACATCGTATTAAGTGCTTCCTACTAATTATCCTGCTGAACCCTCACGTGAAAGATGCGCAGGACGGGCAGGGCGTGGCCGGCAGGTGGGCGTGGCCGGCGTGGCTTCCGGAAGCTGCGCCTCCAGGTGTGCTCTCACCTGGCGCCTCCTTGGCTCCCCTCCTCCCACTGCCGTCTCTCCGCCCTCAGCTCCCCAAGTGTCACAGCCCTCTCCCAGCACCCCTGTCAGGCCTACAGTGCTTCAATCCAAGGTGGGGAGGAGTGAGGAAGGCAGCAAAAGCCGAGGATCGGACTGACGGAAGAATGTAATCTTAAGAAAAGTACCTTAAAGTGCTCAACAGGACCACTGTTCACAAGTGTCCCCCTGCTCGGCTGGCCCCTGCCGCGCAGACCCAGGGAGGTGTTGACCACGGCTGGTCTTGCTGAGCTGCTACTGGGGGGATGGGCAGGGAGGATCCCAGCAGTCCACACAGCGATTCTAAATTGATGCTTCAGCAGCCCTACAAATTCAGACTGCATTTCAGGTAACTCCTTCATAAACTGTCAAACAAGAACTATAACTCAGGGCCCAGCATGGTAGCCTAGCAGCTAAAGTCCTCGCCTTGTATGCACTGGGATCCCATATGGGTACCAGTTCATGTCCTGGCTGCTCCACTTCCCATTCGGCTCCCTGCTTGTGGCCTGAGAAAGCAATAGAGGACGGTCTAAAGCCTTGGGACCCTGCACCCATGTGGGAGACTCGGAAGAAGCTCCTGGCTCCTGGTTTTGGACCAGCTCAGCTTTAGCCATTGCAGCTGCTTGGGGAGTGAATCAGCGGACGGAAGATCTTCCTCTCTGTCTCTCCTCCTCTCTGTATATCTGACTTTCCAATAGAAATAAATACAGCTTAAAACAACAACAAACAAACAAAAAAACACAAAACCTCTGAAGGTTAACCAAGAAATGACCAAGAAATGCAGTGGTGTTTGTTATTTGCTGGCCAAAATGCCCCACATTAACTGAAGCTTAAAATACAAATGTCAGCTATGAGTCTTAAAGAACAAACACGAGGACAGTGAAAGTGAAAATGAAAGCTGTGTTTCAGCAGCCAGGGGCAGAGGTCATTAACGAAAGCAAAGTCCTGTGTGCCAAGGACACCAGCCACGCCATTTTGTAAAGCATGAGTGTCTGGCTACCGCCACCTTGTGGTCTTTTGGAGGAAGTGAAAGAAGGAAAGCCTTGAAGACACTCCTAGCCAACAGGGCAGGCTGCATTTCAGCCTAAGATGTAATAAGGTTCAATCCATCACAGTGGGATCCAACAACTAGTTTATTTATTTTCGTTAGCTTGAAAGGTAGAGATCTTCCAGCTGCTAATTCACTCCCCAAACACCCCCACAGTCAGGGTTGGGCTGGGCCAAAGTCAAAGGCCAGGAAACTCCACACAAGTCTCTCACACGGGTGGGAGAGCCCAAGCATCACAGCCATTGCCTGCTGCCTCCTTGGGGCCCGTCTGCAGGAAGCTGGACGAGAAGTGTCGAAGCAGGGCCTCAAACCAGTACTCCAACGGACGTGGATGCTGCAAGCGGAGGCTTAACTTGTGGTGCTACAATGCTCACAACTACTTTAAAAAGATTTTTGTTTTGAAAGCTAGATTTACAGAGAGAAGATACAGAGATCTTCCACTCGCTGGTTCTCTCCCCAACGGTCACAAGGGCCAGAGCTGAACCTATCTGAAGCCAGGAGTTTCTGGGTCTCCCATATAGGTGCAGGGCCCAAGGACCTGAATTACCTTGCATTGCTTTTCCAGGCATAAGCACGGGGCTGGATTGGAAGTGGAGCAGCTGGGACATGAACCAACGTCCACATGGGATGCAGCCACCTCAGGTGGAGGATTAGCCCCCATGCCAGCACACCTGTCCCAGTGCTTACCGTTTTCAATACATAATAGATGAGTTCACCCAACTAGTATAACCCTACTACAATTATGACAGAAGGCTTCCATACAAGAAGGATTCTTTCTTTTTTTAAATTTATTTTTATTGCAAAGTCAGATATACAGAGAGGAGGAAAGAGAGAGGAAGATTTTCCGTCTGATGATTCAGTCCCCAAGTGACTACAACGGCCAGAGCTGTGCCAATCTGAAACCGGGAGCCAGGAGCTTCTTCCGAGTCTCCCACGCGGGTGCAGGTCCCAAGGCTTTGGCCGTCCTCGACTGCTTTCCCAGGGCACAGGCAGGGAACCGAGTGGGAAGTGGAGCTGCCGGGATTAGAACCGGTGCCCACATGGGATCCCAGCACGTTCAAGGTGAGGACTTTAGCCACTAGGACACCATGCTGGGCCCCAAGAAGGTTTCTTAGGGTGGGCATTTGGTATAGCAGTTAAAATCCTATCTGGGATGCCCTCATTCTACATCAGAGATGTGGGTTCAAGTCCTGGCTCCACTTCAAACCCAGCTTCTGGCTATTGCTCACCCTGGGAGCCAGCAGGTGGTGGTCCTTGGGTCCCTGATACCCATGGGGACACAGGGACTGGGTCCAGGCTCCTGGTTGCAGCCTGGCCTGCCTCAGGCGTTGCAAGCACTTCAGGAATGAAGCAGCAGATGGGAAGGCTCACTCTGTCTGAATCTATTTCTCTTCCGGGGGCCGCATGGCAGCATTTGTCTATCAAACAAAAAGTAAGAACTGAGAAATCAGGCTCTCCTGTGCCTCGCCAGCCCCGCCCCCTCCAGCCTCAGGGCTGCTCTGCACACAGACCTGCCTTTGAGAGATCGCAGGCAGAAGGACTAACGCGCAGGATATTTCCACTCACACGAATCTCCTGAGGTTCACATCACCCCATTTGTAGCTTTGAAAAAGCAGTAACCTGAGCCCAGCACGATAGCGTAGCAGTTAAAGTCCTCGCCTGTAACACGCCGAGATCCCATACAGACACCGGTTCTAATCCCGGCGGCTTCACTTCCCATTCAGCTCCCTGCCTGTGGCCTGGGAAAGCAGTCGAGGACGGCCCAAAGCCTTGGGACCCTGCACCCGCGTGGGAGACCTCCGAAGAGGCTCCTGGTTTTGATTGGCTGATCCTTCGGATAAGCATTCCAGCTGTTGTGGCCGCTTGGGGAGTGAATCATTGGACGGAAGATCTTCCTCTCAGTCTCTCCTCCTCTCTGTATATCTGCCTTTCAATAAAAATAAAATAAATCTTAAAAAAAAAAAAGCAATAACCTTTAATTTGGAAAGAACAGTAGCTTCTCATGCATGTGAGATGCCACATAGCCTTTCTACCTGCCCGGAGCAACGCAGCCACAGCACACTCCACCCTCGAGGCCCCAACGCTGCCCTCGCATGGCCACCACCTCCCCTCACTGCTTCAGCCTTAACAACCACGGACCTGCTCTCCGTTCTATAACTGTGTCACTTCCAGCCCATTACACAAATGCACTCGGTCTCAACCTTTAGGACTGGCTTGCTTTTTTCGTGCCAGAGGGGTAATGCCCTGACTTCGTAACAAGGTTTGGAGGGAGGAACATGTTGCACAGCCATGTGTCCATCCAATCACCACACAAAGGGTCCAGATGGCTAGGTCTGTGCAGTCCTTGCAATGACAGGCCTCGTCTGGTCAACCATCCGGCTGCTGCCAGGGCCTGGTGTCGGTGACCAGAGCTGCTGTGGGCAGGTGCCCAGGCATCTTCTGCGCAGCAACGGAACTGTTGACTTGTATGGAAGCTACAGGCCCAGTTAAGAAAAAGCCAGACTGTGGGCTACAGGTAGCCCACCGGAGAAGTGGGACAACGTGACCTCCAAAAAATATGCCTCTTCAAGTTTTCACCATCTAGCTGGAGCTTCGAGCAGAATCTGGGACCCTCAAGTTCTCAGCTATAACTCCATACAGGCCGAGTATCCCTTATTCAAAATACACAGGACTAAGATACATGATTTACATTCCAGGACTATTTTGGATTTTGGACTATTTTCTTTTTTTTTTTTTTTTAAAGATTTATTTTTATTATTTTTTTATTGGAAAGGCGGATATACAGAGAGGAGAGACAGAGAGGAAGATCTTCCGTCCGATGATTCACTCCCCAAGTGAGCGCAACGGGCCGATGCTATGCCGATCCGAAGCCAGGAGCCTCTTCCGGGTCTCCCACACGGGTGCAGGTTCCCAAAGCTTTGGGCCGTCCTCGACTGCTTTCCCAGGCCACAGGCAGGGAGCTGGAAGGGAAGCGGGGCTGCTGGGATTAGAACCGGCGCCCATATGGGATCCCGGGCGTGCAAGGCGAGGACTTAACCACTTGCGCCACCGCGCCGGGCCCAAGGATTTTGGACTATTTTCACAGGCTTTACCAGGTAAGCATTCCAATCCAAAAATGTGAAATCCAAAATCTCCAACTTTTTGAATGCCTCCATGACGGTCATAAAGTTTCAGCCTGGGTCCAGTGCAGTGGTGTAGTAGGCTAATCCTTCATCTGTGGTGCCAGCATCCCACATGGGCCCTGGTACATGTCTCAGCTGCTCCACTTCCAATTCTGCTCTCTGCTTACGGCCCTGGAAAGCAACAAAGGATGACTCAAGTCCTTGGACCCCTGCACCCACCGTGGAAGGCGGGGAAGTCCCTGGCTCCTGGCTTTGTGTCAGCTCAGCTCTGGCCATTGCAGCCATTTGGGGGACTGAATCAGCAGCTGCAAGACGTTCTCTCTCTCTCCTCTCTCTGCAAAAATCCTGCCTTTCAAATAAAATAAAGTGTCAGGTTTTGGACGTGGGCATTTGCCACGACGGCTAAGACATGAATGGCGATGTCTACACCGCATATGCCCGGAGTGCCTGGGTTCAAGTCCTGGCCCTGCTTTGGACCCCGGCTTCTTGCTCAAGTACTACCTGGGAGGATGTGGGTGATGGCATAAGTAGTTGGGACCCTGCCACCTGCATGGGAGGCCCGGGCAGGGTGGGGGGTCCTGGAGTCCTGGCTTTGGCCTGGCACGCAGGGACTGAGTCAGTACAGAGATTTCTGCTTTTCTGCCTTTGAAACCAACTGATTTAAAGGAAGTTTCAGACTTTGGGGGGCATGTCTGGTTCTGAATAGGGATAGCCAACCTCTGGCAGCAGGCACTGGGTTCCGGCAGGCTGGTTTCACCCCCACAGGGCCATGGTGGTGGTGGTGGCATGGTGACCACTGCTGCCATGCCGACAACCCATGTGAGCACTGGTTCGAGTCCTGGCTTTCAACTTCCTGAGGCAACTCCATGCTAATGCTCCTGGGAAGGCAGCAGGTGATGGCTCAAGTACTCGGGCTCCTGCCCTCCAACCTTGACCCTGGCCCAGCCCTGGTCACCGAGGGCAACTGGAATGAACAGGAGATGGGAGCCCATTGTCTGCCTTCCAATCTGTCATCCTTTACTAAAGATGACTGTGGTTACCTACACTGCCCCTCCACACAGGCGGCTTCCCAGCATTTACACATCTGCCTGGTATCACCCGACAAAGACACCTGACACACCTATTTTTCCAAAAGGGGTTATGCTTGCACTGGAGTTGACTCAGGAATCAACTTGAAACATTTTGCTATATAAAAGACATGGGACAAAACCAATGCGTGGCGGATCACAACTAAACATCTTAAAGTCCCAAATGTCACTTATTTTTTAAAGACAATTAATTTAAATTGATTCTGAGTTAAAATGTCATTTTGGGGGTTGGTCCCATGGCACAGCAAGTTAAGCCTCTGCCTGCAGTGGTGACGTCCCCTATGAGCATTGGTTCGAGTCCTAGCTGCTCCATTTCCGGTCCAGGTCCCCGCTGGTGGTCTGAGAGGGAGGTGAAGAATGGCTCAAGTGCTTGGGCCCCCACACTCACATGGGAAGCCTGGGGGCTGCTGCCTTCAGATTGGCCCAGCTCTGGCTGTCACAGCCATTTGGGGGGGTGGGCCAGTGAATGCAACATCTGTCTCTCCTCTCTGTTGTAATTCTGCCTTTCAAATGAAAATGAATAAATGTTTAAAAAAATGTTATTTGTATACAACACTTGGCAGGAAAGGGGATTTACCAGCATGAGAACAAAAGACACTGCAATCAAAAGCCCAACCGTGAGGTAGCTCTCCCGGTCTTCAGTCTCCATTAAGAGCTATCCAGGGGGCTGGTGCAGTGGTTCAGCTGGCTAATCCTCCGCCTGCAGCACTGGCATCCACATGGGTGTCTGTTCGTGTCCTGGCTGCTCCACTTCTGATCTAGCTCCCTACTTATAACCTGGGGAAGCAGCAGAGGATGGCCAAAGTCCTTGTGTCCCTGCACCCACGTGGGAGACCTAGAAGAGCTCCTGGCTTCGGTCAGGCTCAGCTCCGGCTGTTGCAGCCACTGGGGGAGTGAACCAGCGGATATTAGGTCTTTCTGTCTCTCCTTCTCTCTCTTCCTTTCAAAAAAAAAAAATTTAGGTTAGTTTTCAACACATCCAATGTGATTTGTAGGTCCAATTGTTTTAAAAGATTTATTCATTTTTATTAAGAGGCAGATTGACAAAGAGAGAGAGAATCTTCTATCTTCTGGTTCACTCCCCATATAGCTTCAACAGCTGAAGCTGAGCCTCTATGAATGAAGTCAGATGCTTCTTCTTGGTCTCCCATGTGGGTGCAGGGGCCCAAGGTTTTTAGCCACCCTCTATCTACTGTCTCCCCAGACATAAGTTGGGGAACTGGATCACAAGTGGAACAGTCAGGGGCCTGCAGCAGTAACCTAGTGGCTAAAGTTCTCACCTTGTATACACTGGGATCCCATGAGTGCTGGTTTGTGTCCTGGCTGCTTCACTTCCCTTCCAGCTCCCTGCTTGTGGCTGGGAAAGCAGTCAAGGATGGCCCAAAGCTTTGAGACCCTGCACCTGCATGGGAGACCAGGAAGAAACTCCTGATCAGCTGAACTCTAGCCATTGTGGCCACTTGGGGAGTGAATCAACAGATGGAAGATCTTTTCCTCTGTCTCTCCTGCTCTCTGTGAATCTGACTTTCAAAAGAAACATGAAGTGGAAACAGCTGGGACTCAAACGGCATCCATACGGATACCAGTGCTGCACGTGGATGACTAGCCTGCCGAGCCACTGCACTGGCTCTTACAATTTGAAGAACATAACGATATTCTCTTCTCTGCCTCCCGTCCTTTTTTCATTAGTTTTTGAGATAACATTTCAAATTTATATTACAATAAAAAGGGCTAATAGCTTTAACAAGTACAAAGCAAAATGACTGGTTTCATGAGAATACAGAGACTGAAATTTTGCAAGGAATATTTTAGAATTAACTGTAGAAATGCCAAAATGAAAGGAGTAGGAAGGCACAAATCAGTCAAAAGTTGATGGAGATTTGAACCATGCTGGTGGCAGTGGCGGTGCTGAGAGCACCCAGTTTAGGACAAAACCGGGGCAAGGTGCTGAGAGCACCCAGTTTAGGACAAAATCGGGGCAAGGTGCTGTGGTGCAGTGGGTTAAGCTATTCACAAGGCCACATTCCACGGAGCAGCAGCTGGAGTCCTGGCTCTGTTTCCGACCAGCTAACGCACCTGAGAGGCAGCAGTTAATGGCTCAACTGTCTGGATTCCTGTCACCCCCGTGGGAGACCTGGATGGAATTACTGGCCCCTGGCTTCAGGCTGGCCCAGTCCTGGCCACTGAAAACACTCAGGGAGTTAACTAGCGGGTGGAAGATCACTCGGAGTATCTTTCTCTCTGTCACACTGCCTGATGGGACCTGCTCACCGAGTGGCCAGGAAGACGTGGCAGTGTCATGGATGCCTGCAGTTTTGGGCCTGAGCCTGGAGGATGTGGCAGTCATTCATTGGGAGAGGGGTGGAGAAAGCTGGGGTCTTGGGTGGGACTGGGAACAGAACAGTCCACACTGCACGATGTCCTAATATCCACGTGGGGCTGAGCATGGAACCGAACCTGGAGCTCCTGGGCAGGGCCAGCCGGGGATGGGTGTCATCAGTATCCATGGGCACTGACACCAGAAAGCCTCAGGGGGCTCCGACCAAGAGGCCAGAGGCTAGCGGGACAAGGAGCGGCCGCGTGAGGAGGACATCACTGGGCCTGGGCTGTCCTGAAGCCAGCTGAGCCGGTTTTGAGGAGGTGTGAGCGACAGTGACAGACTCTTCGCTGGCCATCATATTAGCCACACAGGTGAGTCTGACATGAGCAAGTGTAGCGACGTGGCAACTGGGACAGGCTCAGGAGAAAACGGGGAAATGAATTTTGCACAGCAGGCTTAACCAGCTCTTCTGAGACACTCTCTCCTTTAGAGATGAGTGGAGAATAGGCTGGGAGAAGACAAGGGAAATGACAGCCTGCCTATGTGCTAAAGATAATGAGCAGAGAGAGACAGAGTGCAGGCAGGGGGTTGGCAGTGTGGCATCGCAGCTAAAGCCACTGCCTCCAGTGTCTGCATTCAGGTGGCTGCTGGTTCGAGACCCGGCTGCTTACTTGTGAGCCAGCTCCTCGCTGATGTATCCAGGAAAGCAGTGGGAGACGGCCCTAGTGCCTGGGCCTCTGCTCCCACATGAGAGATCGGCAAGAAGCTCCTGGCTCCTGGCCATTTGGGAAGTGAACCA